TTTTTTTAAATCATGAAAGGGTCTTGAATTTTCTCAAATGTTGTTTATGAGTCCATTGAGATGATCTTATGATCCCCCATCTGGAAGGGAATGTGTGTGGGCTTGCTATTGGAGCCTTTGGGCAGGCTCATTCCTGGCTCCACTGGGGTTTGCTTAGAGCCTGGATTTTCAGGTTCAGGCCTGGAGCCTGGGTTTACTGTGGTGGGCCTGTATCATGTGTCTGCTGGGTTGGGCCTAGAGCATGAGTTTGTGAGGATAGGCCTGGATCTGCAGGGGCCAGCCTGGTGCTAAGATGGGCTTGGTACCTAGACCCATAGGAATGGGCTAGGAGCCAGAGTTCACAGTGGATGGCCTGTCATTAGGGTGAGTTTAGAGCCTGATTCTATAGTGGTAATGGGTAGGGTCCTTAGTTTGTGGGACCATTTTGGTACCTGGGCCTGGATGGACAGCCTTGGAGCCTAGGTCCATGAAGTCCAGCCTGATGCTTAGACCCAAGGTTCACTAGGGGCAGGCCTAGATCCTGATCCTAGATCCTAGATCCTAGATCCTAGTGCCAGAGTCCACTGGCACTGGGTCCTGCCTGGAGACTGAGTCCCTAGGGATGGGCCTGGGTCCTGGGTTCGTGGCAGCTTATGTGGCCCCAGGGTCTGCTGGAGCAGGTCTGGACCCTGGGTTCTATAGAGCATGAGGACCCTGAGGCTGGCCTGGCTCCTGGGAGGCCTGCAAGGGCCAGACTGGCTTCTGGTTCTGTGGGTGCAGGTCTGAAGTCTTTGGCTGTTGGGGCTTAGAAGACATTTTAGAAGTGGATATGATTGCCCAGGAATCATGTGGAAAATGAAAAGAAATCAGAAGTTGGCATTCTAAAGAAAAAAAATTTGCAGAACAGGCTGGCAAAGTAAGAAATTTAGAAGTATCAACCAGAAATAGAGAAGGGAAATTTTAACAGAAAGATATTTGGAAAACAAAAGAGAGGATTTTCAAAAGGAGGCAGTAATTGCAGAGACATACCACAGATGAGTCCAGTCTGATAAAGACTGAAGCATCTAGCAATTTGGAGGTAATTGAATGCATTGAAATAGGAGAAGAAGGGAGTGTGTGTGTGTGTGTGTGTGTGTGTGCGTGTGTGTGTGTGTGTTTATAAAGTTGCAATTAAACCAAAAATTTATTTTATTTTTTTAATGATCATACGATTGTTGGAATTACTAAGGGTAGATGGTGGCTGTTTCCTAAGTATCTCTAGGAGTGTACTCTCTATCCTCTAGGTGCCTTGCCCTTCAGCAGCCCACTTGGGGCTTTGTCACTGTGACAGCATGGTAACTGTTTCTCGCAAACCAACATTTGGGGTGTATTTCCTGCTACATGAGAATGTTTTTTGGGAATAATAGGGTAGATATTTAATACAATGGCCATCACGAACGGGTTTGAAATTTGTGATGAAGCATTAGGGTTCCAGCTGTCACTGATCACCACTTCTCTGAACTTCAGCATCAGGCCACCAATGAGAATAAGGGTTCTGGTCAGAACTGAAGCAGCCCTGGTCAGATCGTGGAAATTAGGTGTGGTGAGTATCTTCATTTCTTTTAGGAGAATCCTAGCTGTAAAGGTATGATACAGTCACAGGCACAAGATGATTTTGAGAAACAGACCATCCTTTAATTTTAACCTAATTACAGATATCTAAAGTAAAGATTTCAAGGTTTTCCTTCAAAGAATATATATTTTTTTCCTTCTGAAAGCTTAGAAAAAAATGTTTAGAAAGTGCAAAGTTTTATTCGCGTTCAGTTGTGTTACTAGTTAGACAACACTGCCCCCTGGTGGAATGAACCTGCAACACTTTTTAGTAGCAGTTAAAATTGTAAAGTGCTGTTTGATGGTCCTGCCACCAGATTTCCTTCCCAGGGCCGTTAATACTCTTGTTCTTTCTGCTTAATTTAATCTGGAGCTTTGTCAAAGTGCCAGTTGTGTACAAATATGCCCTGTTATATCTTAATTTCACTATGATGTTATGAAATAAAGATCTGGGATTTTCATGGCAAAACTTCTCAGATGGACATTTTGGTAGGGCCCTGAATACAAGATGCGTTAAAAATAAAATATGAAATCTGGTCTAGTGCGTTGATTTTTTTCCTCATGTATAAATTTTTCAAAAACTAATGAAGAAATCATTCTCATTGGAGGCATAGTAATTGAAAGACTATTGTGAAAGATCCTACTTAACTTGGCTGTGAACTGATAGTTTTTGAGTTGTTGCAT